GTGAGGGAATCCTGGAATAATTGAGGGAGGAAGGAAATAATAAATATCAATACATGTTTAGGACTATGTTACTATAGTGAAGACTACAGGTTATTCTTCTAACCCTCTTGTGTCAATTATTTGCAGAGTTTGTGACTCGCTGTCATCTTGAAAGGGCCACTTTGCCATATTTAATTTAGTGGAAGGTATGAATACATCTGAGGAGTCCAAAAACTGGACTGTTTGGGGCCCCATTTGTGTACCACTTCTAAACTTTTTAGCTTTAACTTTTAGTTCAACCCCTATTTTAATAGTAAATTTGATGTGTTCTTCAGCTAGGTTCATGCAAGTGTAACCCAAAAGCCTCTTAACTTCTCCTGTTTCTTGGTCCAGAGCTTATCTTATTCTGTATCGTAAGACACCGATAGGAATCCACTAGAACTCATACATAAACAATCCAGAAGTGCAAAGTTGTTAATATCCCATTGATAATTGATATGTGTTTCTTCCTTTCCTTCCCTGGACAAAAAGATCTCAGGCATATTTCTTAGATCTCTTGGATTCTGTGGGATAGAGCACCAGCCATTCATAGTGGTGGAACTCAGCAATGTCCTCTTACATTTTCTTTTTCTATTTCCCTGCTTGATTGCAAAATTTATCGTTTCTGTTTTCTGTATAGAAACTTTTGTCTGAGGGTCTGTCTGCATTGAGAGCAATTTAGTCTAAGCCATTGAAAAATGAGAATTCTCACAGTTTACCCCGGGATTGCCATGAATATCTGAATGTTTGATTGCTTAGTCTAGCAAACATCAAATCCATGGAGACCAGAAAGTTTTAATCTCTTGAACTCTCTACAAGAAAGGAGACACCTTATTAAAAGTAATTGTTGCTTTAAAATAATCTTCACAGGGTAAAAATACTAGAGAAGTTGTGTATTGTGTTTTAATATGGGACATAATGAATCACAAATTCGCATGCAGGTGTGACGGTCTCACAGAGATCATGATTCACTAAAAAAATATGATGTAGGCTGTATTATTTATCTTTGAAATTTTTAAATGTGTTAAAGCAAAGCTAACTTTACTTGAATCTTCTGATGGCTTTTCAATTAACAGGAAAGATAGAGCTTGATAGATTCAGAATATCACAGATTAGCAATTCTAATCATTATTCTAACTGTAGTTTTCTTTTTGTCAATTATAGACCCTTAGGGGGTAATCCAAACTGCTGTGTAAAGAAGGCTCAGAAGAACAGTACAATTTAAAATACTAAAGTGGTTTTTATGCTGATTGAGTCTTTCTTTTTTTGAAAACATAAACACTTCTAACAACATTTAGCTTTTTTTTTTTTTTTTTTAAGTTCTTTATAATTAGAGTATAAAGCATTCTGGGGACATGTTACAAATATATAACTGACCTGATTACACAAAGTAATGAGTAACAAAATGGCTTAGAGTCAATGAATATTAGAGCTAAACTGGGGTCCTAAAAATAACCTACGTATGTCTTATGTTGGCAGCTGAGTTAAGTAAAGGCAAAATGAGATGAAGTAGCTTTCTCATCCTGGGGCCAGGACCCTGGTCCCTTGACTGACTTGACTGAAAGTCAATCTCTTCCATCTTTTAAAATTTGTTGAAAACATGTATTTTTTTCATTAGTTTTGAATAATTGTATTTGTTTTCACAGAATATCCTTCTGTTTTTGCCCTGAAACAGAAGCTACTTAAATGAGTAAAATATCAGAATGTGAAAGGAAACCTGAATATGTTACACATGGAAATATGTGTGAGTTACTTTCCACTGGTTAGCAATGGCCTTATAAAAGAACAATCTTCTGGGATGTATCCCCTAGATATATTCCTCCTGAGGGATGATCTTGGTCTATTCATGAAGATAGCCGTGGCCACTCCAGTGATATTCCAAGTCTGACTGACTCTCCCAAAGTGAATCAGATGATTTTCCATCACAGTCTGTTTGGCCTGACTCACTGAGTCCCATTCCCACTTCACATTCTAGTCTACTAGGTCCTGGTAAACAGGCCTCAATATGTAATTCCAGTACACAGGAAAACTTGCTTCCAAACGAATTTATAGCAAGTCTCATTCTCCTTTACCTATGGAAAATAATCTGAGTGTGCAGATGATGTTCAAAACAACTAAATTTCTGTGTCACATAGTTAAGAGAGTTTACATTGAGATAATAAAAAAAAAAACACAGAACCCTTGTGGTTTGAAACAGCAAAAGTTGATACCTTAAGTGTTATGTGTCCAGTGCAAGTCATTAGGTAGGGATGCCGGAAGGGGAGCAATGCTTATTACAGTTACTTGGGCTGACAGAGGCTCCAAACAACATATGTGTTCAAAGAGGTTACACATGGGAACATGATAACATGCATACAATTTGATAAAGTTTCTTTGGAGAAATTTTACTCCACTTATTTCCAAGGTGGTGGAAGAGGAGAGATAGAAATAATTTGTAGACAGAGGTAATAATGACCATCACAACTCCCTTTTGATATTCCCCCACCAGCACCCATAGAAGAGACTACATAAACCACTTCAAGTTCCTGGTCTGCCTCCTACACATCATCGGGCTTAGCCTGTTTTCTCTGTCCTTGCTTCTGTCTTCCCTTCTAAAAGAGTTTCCACTAGGATTTGACTATATGGCATGTGTTTAGCAATCTTTCTGTCTGTATTGATCTGGTTAAAGCCCTGGACGCTTCCTTTGGAAGCATAGCTATATGCAGCCCACAGGCCAACATCACATCACCCTTGAACTCATCCCTAAGGTCATCCAGAATCTCAGCTTATGCATAGCATCTCAAGTCTATGATGTTACAAAAGGATCTTTCTGAGATAGATTAGGAAAAGGAATGAAGTGAGACTGCCATGAAAAAATACCTGAAACATGGTATTCATATTTTAAAAAAAGGACTGACCAAATTGATTTAAAACCTCAGTTTGAGGCCATTGGAAAGACATCAGAGATACCAAGAGGAAATAATTATTCAATTTTTAAATTTTAGTATAGTTGTATTATATGTCTACCTATGTGGGAGATAAATATGTATAAAATATAGATATCTAGAAGCTATTGAGTGAAAAATAAATTTCTGAAAGAATTTTTTCAATTATGTACTTTATTTGAATACTGTTATGTAAGAGGTCAAAGATTCATAAGAAGGGACTAAAAGGCTAAAATTATAATGGGAACCCAAAGGAATTTGTAGAGATTTTCTGTAAAAATTCCACTTATAACTAAATTCTTTCCAGTTCTCACTATACTGGGAGGTGGAATAATCACCAAAACTGAGAGCTTAATTCTAGGTTCTGTTTAATTTTAACTAGTGCGGAAAACTTGAAAAAGTTAGTTTGCGCTCTGGGCCTAATATCCTCAACTGGGTGAGAATATTGAACTAAATGGTGTGAAAGTTTCCTTTTAGATTGAAATTAGAGAAGTCTTTTCTTCTTGGCATCAAATCTACTTAAATGTGTCAAGGGAGTGAGATCAGAGCAGAATCCTCCTTTAGCTTATTTTATTGACATTTTGGGTGTGGCTCCCCATTTCTCTCGGGTAACAGGTAGCCCCACTCAGAAATGCTACATGTTTGTAAAAGACCTTGCATTTTTATTATTATTATAGTTTACAAGAGTATAGACTATTCTTCTTTATTCTGTAAGAATTCCAAGGCCAGCTGCATCCTATTTGAGTCACTACACTGGACTCCACACACAGACATAGATAGCCTTAAAAATGGGTTTTGTAAAAATACTTACTGGTTCATGCTAGAGAAAGAGGTTGATTCCCAAGATATCTCTCAGTCAGGAGTTACCCTGACCCTAAGAGCAGAACAATCTGATGAGTGTGATCAAGGCGCTAGTCTTGCAGCTCTTTACTCCAAGGGTGCTCAGATGGATAAGACATCTATTGAAAAACCACCTAGGTCAGGTCAGAAGAAAATTTCACAGGCCACACAGGGCCATTAATTTGCTGAGTGAGATGTGTCTCTAGCCTTGCCCTCCTAATGTAGGAAATGAAGGGGTTTTATTAGAGCAATGGTTACTGAGGCCCATTGTCTAAGTTAGATTAACCTAGGCTCTCTGTATGGTCCTATAAGTTTTCAGGCTTCAGAAAAATGTTTCCTCTGACGGTTTTAATTAAGAATAGACAGAAAAGACAAGGATCTAAGCTGGAAAAGCAGTTTTGAGGCTCATGTAGGAGACAGGAAAGGACAGTAGTAGTGGAGATACTGAAGTGAGATCAGATCCCGGCACTATTTTAAATGCAGTGACAATAATATTCTTTCATGGTTTGAATGAAGAGAATAAAAAATAGAGCAAAGGAAAGGTGACTTCAAGTATTTTTGGCCTAAAAACCTGAAGGACAGACTGTCATTAACTTAGGGAGAAGACTGTGGGAACATATATTACATTTTTAGATAATTCATATAACTTATTATACTATATAAGATGGTATTATTTAATAACGATAGCATTTATATGATTTATTTAACTATGCTTATATTTGTATATATATATATGAGAAAGGTTTTGAGAACTCAAATTTGAACACTTTAAGTTTCAGATAACTGGCATGTTCATGAATCCCCTAGTGTGTTTTTCTATGCATATATAATATTATGTATACATCTGTAATCATCCTCTACATACCATTGAAAAGAGTTAGCCAACTTGCTTTAGGCAGACAGTAAGGGAAGGGTCCCTCTAGAACCTCGGACCCCTGTTTTGTGCAGATAAGGGAACTTGCATAGGGGGCTTGCCTAAACCTGCCCGCAGGGGCCCTCAAGCGCACTGGGGAAATGGGGTGGAGCCACCAGGAATTTGCACTTTATACAAACAGGGAAACCAGCCTTATCAGCTTTTATGTAAAAGCTCTTGTATTCAACTGCGAAGAGGGCAACTGAAAACCAACTTTCAAGAACCTTTTTGCTGAGAGCTTTCCTTTTCGCATAATGAATTTGACTCCACTGACTCTTCAATGTCTGCATGCCTATTTCTTCCAGGTGGTGAGACAACAACCTGAACCTGGCTGAGCTAGGGAACAAAAAATTCTTGCATCGTTGTTCTATAACATTCTTCTTTCTTTGGACCCAGGTGAGTAAGGAAGATCTTTGAGAAACTCTACATGCTGCTACTTCTTATAACATGCTTCTTCTCCAGCAGGTCTCAAAGCGATAGAACACTTGGCCTCTAATAAATAATGCGAATTTATTTCTTAATGTAATTCATCTGAAGGATGAATACTTTTTATTTTCTGAAGTTGGCAAGAAAATGTGGTATATTGTGGTAAATTAAGCCCCTCAGGCCAAGATGATGTATTGTAAGTTTTGTTGGAAGGATAGGCAAGTCTCTGAGGGTGTTACAGTGACAGTGTATGGAGGGTATGGATAGATTTTTGTCCAGTGTTGAGATTCTCCAGTACTTCACTAAACCCTGAATCACAAAAACGATTTGGTTCCATGGCACCTTTCCATTTGTTGTAAACACAAAATGTGCCTTATATTAACCCTTGAGCAATTGACCACAGGATTCTGAGAGAGATTGCTCTAAATTTATTCACCCATGAATAAATTTGGATATGGATGTTTTCATTCTAGCTCAGATAACTCATTATTGAATTCCTTGGAAAGAACTTTGCTCCCTACATAAAAAACAAGCAAACAAACAAACAAAACCCAAAACAAACATGAATTTCCTTTGGAGATAACGTAGGACGATTCTCTAAGGAAGAACTCATATCAGTATTGCTTACAAAGTTACTTGCTTGCCCTTTAGGAACAATAGGCCTCTTATTCCTGTACCTCCCTCCACTCTTTTCCACATTATGCTGCTTAAATGCTCTTGGCTTTGTCTTGCCCACATAAGGCCTGCCTGCAATTACAAGAGAAACCATTCGTACAGGAAATGGTTGCTCTTTGCTACTCAGAGTTAATACTGCCAGGTCTCTTTTCTTTTTATTCTCCCTCTGAACAAAGATGATGAAGAGAGGGGTTACTGATTTGTCCCATTCATGCAACATATGGTTTAACAATCATTTATGGGTTATATTTCTACCTTCAGATCCCAAGCACAGTGCTTCTGTTTTAACAGGTGCAAATAATTGTAATAAGTTATATGGCATATGGGAAAAAGGAAGAAAATTAAAGGATACTAGGGGAAAAAAGTAGTTGCAAAATGGGGCAAATTACCAAAAACAAAAAATGAAAAGTAATCAACGAAAAACTTGCTAATTGTCCAAGCTTGCTGCTGGCTGACTGAACCCAGTATATTCAGGGAGAATACTTCAGACCCAGAAAAGTTCCTGTGATGACAGGAGGAGTGAAGGGTGTTCTAAACATCAGCCTGATACAAACCAGCTTCTTCTTTCTGTTCCAAGTTTCCAGCTCTTGACTCACAAGCAAAGTGACATTTGGCCCAGAATCCCCACAGCTGTCAGTTCTAACAGGGGCCAGAGCAATTTTGTCCACTGGTGTGGAATGTTCCATGAAGTGACCAACGGTATACATTCCAGGCTCTAGGTGACTCCAAGCCTTACATTAGGCATCTGGAAAACAGAAAGTTTACCTGCAAACTGGGAGCAGTTTTTAGACAATAGTCATTGTTTGGAAGACTTTATATAAGCAGAAGCTATACATGAACACAGAGCCTGGAAGCTTGTTCAGAACAAGTAATTGAATTGTATCAGATTGTCCTGGAGAAAATTACCCACCTTTGCTGAGAAACCCATATCAGTGATTTCAACAGTGTTCTTTATACACATAGCATGTTCTAATAAATATTTAATGCATCTATCAATGAAGCGTTCTTAGTTCATTTTATTAACTCATGCTCCTTGGTGCCTGCAAGTAGGATGGTAAGATTGATCTTCTATGTACCTGAAATAAAGTGATTGCTCTTGGTAAATGATTAGTGTGATATGAGCTACTCTTTTATAATCAAATCATCTCATTATATTTTCCTTTTGAAACTTGAGTTCTTATTGAAGTATAATTCACTGACATATGTCAGATTACCCAGAAAATGTAAGACTAAGATCTGTGTGTAGTTGGCTGTCTTTGTTTGTTTCTGCTTCCATAATGAAATATCTGAGACTGGGTAATTTACAAAGAACAGAAATTTGTTTCTCACAGTTCTGGAGAATGAGCAGTTCAATATGGCATTGGTAAGGTCACTCTCTGGTGAGGGCCTGGTCTTTGCATCCAAGATGGCATCGGGATGCTGCATCCATCCTCCAGAAAAAAGAATGCTGTGCCATCACATGAGAAAAAACGACCTAGCTAGTTCCCTCCAGCCCTTCTATAAGGTTGTTAAAGCCATTCATGAAGGTGGAAACCTCTCCTAATCACCACCCAAAGGCTTCACCTCTTAATACTATCACATTTGGGATTATGTGTCAAAATCTGAATTTGGGAGGGAGGCATACAATCAAATAATAGCAGTGACTTTTGGGATTGTGTTAGAGAAAAAAGGCTGCTCATCAGAAGAAGTTGAATTGATGAAGTCACATCAGCAGCATTAGTCAATCCCATAAGGACAGCAGTGCAGAGATAGCCTGAACTGAGATGAGAGCCTGGACCTACATACCAAGTATTAACCAATCACAGGGTAAAGGCTGTCTTCAAGGAGAATGTGCAGCCTTAGGAGAAGCAGTTCCATTTGGATGAGGGCAATTTCCAGAAAGGGATGCTCAGTGCGCATTTAGAAGCCACCTCTCTCAGCAGCTAAGAAATGAGCATGTCAGTCCTGAGAGCATATCTGGTCAGCCCAGGGAGGCTTACCACAGTCATTGACTACAGTCTACTCCTTACACTGTAATTCCTTACTTGATCATTTAAATTTATTTCTTTTGGAAACAGCTGCTCCAGGATTCCTGTTGATTTTGTTTCCAGGAGGGTTAGTAGGGAACCATATAGTCCCTGGCACTACAAGTGGTCATGAGCTTCTAATAAATACTCATGATCTCCCACCCTCCTACCCATTCTAGATTCCCCTAATCTTGTCTAACATCTCTTCTAGTCTAGATAGCTTAGCTTGGTAGGGTGCTCCAAACCCTCATTACAGGCAAACCTCAGAAATATTATGTGTTTGATTCCAGACTAATGCAATAAAGCAAATATCACAATGAAGTGAGTCTCACAATTTTTATTTCCAAGTGCATATAAAAGTTGTTTACATTATACTATAATCCATTAAGTGTGCAATAGTATTATGTCTTAAAAACCCTACCTACTTTAATGAAAAAATACTTTATTGCTAAAAAATGCTACAGAACATCTGGTGGCAAAGGGTTTTGCCTCCGTTTTCATGGATGCTGATTGATTAGGGTGGTGTTTGCTGAAGGTGTCTAGCAATTTCTTAACATAAGACAATGAAGTTTGTCACATTTATTAACTCTTCTTTTCACAAAAAAAAATTTCTCTGTAGCATGCAATGCTCTTTGGTAGCATTTGACCCACAAAAAAACTTTCAAAATTGGAGTCAATCTTTTCAAGCTCTGCTACTGCTTTATCAACTAAGTTTATGTAATATTCTAAATCCTTTGTTGTCATTTCAACAATGTCCATAGCATCTTCACCAGGTAGATTCCATTTCAAGAAACGACTTTCTTTGCTCATTCTCAAGAAGCAACTCCTCATCTATTCAAGTTAGATCAAGAGATTGCAGCAATTTAATAACATCTGCAGGCTTCCCTCCTAATTCTAATTCTCTTCCTATTTTTCCACATCTGCAGTTACTTCTTCCACTAACATGTTTCTTGTTTTTTCTAACATTGGAAGTTTTGAGTTTTGACTAAGTTTCCTGTAGCACACCTCTATATTAAAAATTTTCTAATGCTTTTATCATTATTAGACTGGGGTTATAGTTGGGAAAAGAAGATCACAAAGTAAAGTGCCATTTTTATCATATATCAAGGGTACAAACAATATCACTTATGACTATTGATATTGACCATGGTCCTGACTGAAGTAATTTTTGTCAGATGCCTCCACTGTAAAGTTACGCTCACCCCACACACTCTCCATACTGCCATCATCGGCAGAAAGTCACTATGTTAGTTCACACTTAGGGAGTGGGATGTTATATGCTCCCCCTTCCTTAGGGTGAAACATCTACATAATTTATTTGGAATTCAATATGAGAGATTTATCTCTTCTCCCCCATTTATTAATTTGTTAATTCATTTGTTAATATTAATATGAAATCATAAAGATTTATTTTATACTTTAGGTTAAAATCCAACACTACTTTATTTTGATACTCAAATTGTTCCCTCTTTGAACATCAAGAGCTTTTAGTTGACTCCTGTGTCACTTTGACATACCCTTATTATTGTGGATTATTGTTGCTATTGTATTGCTTCCTTACTTTCTGGTACTACAAGATTCCCTAGGCTCACTTGAGTATTTCCTCTTCCAGTTCCCGAATCAGAGTTTCTTTAGGAAACTCTATTTTCTTTCACTGGAGATGAGATAGAAACCAAGATCTAGGTATTAGGTGTTCTCATTGCTACTGGGGTGACATTTTTCAGTTGCTCCCAGCTAATAGTAAAAAACACTAACCCATACATATATTAGGGACACATATTAAGTTAAACATAGTTTCTTATTGATGTCTCTCATTCTAATCTGATACCATATAGATCATGTTAGTCACTTTCTTTGTTGTTTATTTACAAATTTCTACTCAAACATTAAGAATATAGTTCCCATCATATGCCATTCATTTCCTTAATTGTTCAGTTACAGTATACATGTATCGTAGCACATTTTTTTAACCTTTATCCTCATGAGAAACAATTTTGCCAACTATTGCTTATTGTGCCATTCATTTTGCCTTTAATGTTGCAGATTCCATTTATCTCCAAAATCACTTAGATTGATACCTCTTCTCATATTCCTTTCAGTGAGATTGTTTTATACATTGTTATTATAATCAGCTTATCTTGTCACAAACAGCATTCTTTCCTGGGATCCTTGACCTCCTAAGTTTTTTCTTTTTAATTTGTAAATATTAAGATTAACTATTTTCCCAGGGATGAAGCCAACTTGATCATGGTGGATAAGCTTTTTCATGTGCTTCCGGATTCAGTTTTC